CACTATTATAAGATGATATCTAGATCATCTAGATCCACTCTAAATAGGTCACCCACCATTGATATATATATATCATGAGCATGAGGAGAGTATATTAAGAAGAAAAAAAACCTCAACTCTCGTCAATAGATTATTAAAAATGGTCGCCCACCATTTATCCACGTACCAAATCCAACTAAATAGTATATAAGTGAAAAATAGCGAAAAAAATCTTACTTTACAAGTCAATTTTATAGGATTGAGTTAGACTCTAATACAAAGGATGGATTAACAACGGTTCTAAATCCATTTACATCAACCTCCCATCAATTTTCATTTTACTTTGAAATTTGCATCTCCCTCCATCAACCACCACGATCTAGACTTCAATTTTTTCACAGCTAAACATAGATCCGTGAAATGCATTTTCATTTGGCCCTTGTTTGAAGGTGAATTATAGCAAGATTGAAGACCGTAAAATTGTCTTCATCAACGGGGAGATGCTTTTAGATATTCATTTATTTTATTAGGCTCTACTTTTTGACATAATTCATACTTTTAACCAACGAGACGTGAAGTCCAAGTTTTCCTGGGCTTTGATCTTAGATATTGTATATCAAACGGGCTTATGCAGAATAGTCGTGGGTCATAACTAAAGTTTAGGCCCATCAAATCCGAACTACATTCCGAAAGGAAACTAAAAAAATAAAATAAAGAAAGAAAGAAATAAAAGGGAAGAGGCAAAACATAGGTACATAATTTTCTTTAGAAGATATACTTTTCATACTTAGAATCATTGAGACCACTTTTTTTTCTCGGAAAATCTGTTCATATTTTATCATGAACCGCAAAATTATTGAGCATCTTCTTAAACCAGGATGTGTAATCCTCTTATCTTTTCAGGTGTACATTCTTTGACAAAGAAGAAAAGGCTGAACTAGAATTTTTCACGGCTTTAATTTGTAACCATATCTAGTGTCCAAGATTTGTTTTCTTTGGCCCACTTTTTTTCTTCTAGTGTCTCAACTGTAGTTGTGGATTTAGCATTGGTGACAAACAGATGAATGCCAAATAGATGAATCCACTGAAATTGTGAGTACACCAAAACAAAAAAGAAGAGTGTGGTTTTCTCAAATAAACATTGTACATGAGGCAACAAGCCAACTGATCTGCTCCCTGTTCAATCCAAGTTGCCACTCCTTTGCAATCTGTCCAAATTCACCCTATCCCCTCCACTTTATTGTTCACAACATTAATCACTTCAATCTTTCAAAGGACAAATATTAGGTATAATTTCTTTAATTTTTTTTTATTTTTATGAATCTTTAGTACAAACATTTTTCTTTTGGTATCAAAGAGGGTCTAGGGGTCAAAAAAGAAAATTACAAGATAATCCTTCGAGGGCCCATTATATCCTTTAAAGAAGGTGAGCACAACCAATTGAAGAGGAATAAATATGTAAGCCAAGTGGTAAATATTAAATAATTCTTGTTTACATATCCTTTTATTCTCCAAAACATTTTTTTTTTCTTCTAGTTTAAACTCTTTCAAGTAACTTCAAGCGCGTGATTCAGCGGTAGGGGTTGATCCACGCTTAAGTAAGGTCAGGGGTTCAAATCCTGTCTTGTGTATGCAGCCGCGTTAAATCTTGGGGCCAGCTATCCCACTCCTTGAGATGCCTCCAACGTAGCGATGAGATTAGTCACTGCTATCGGCGGTAGATACTCCAGGAACGAACAAAAAAAAAAAAACTCTTTCAAGTTTAACTAGATTGGTTACTTGTTTATAATCTTTAACTTGTATTTCAAATTGGAGTCTCAGAAATCACAAGTTTTACTTTCGCTAGATTATATTTCTTTTATTTGAGTTTCAATCCGTTCGTTACTGCAAGCCAGCAGAGCAGGTAAATGGGAGAAAATATGAAGCAATATGGAGAGTTGTAAGTTGTAACCACCAAATTTCCAACCGCTGACCAAAGACCAAACTTTACTTAACCTTAAAATGTACATGAATATGAAAAGGTAAGTGGAAGTTGTTGGAGAAAGTTCACCCATCTCTCCTTTTAGAATCTGCAGGAACCAACTTTTTGTAAAGCTTGAGGTAAAAGAAACCACGACGAATATTTATCCTTACTCAAAATCATATGCGTTTCATTATGTCTACCACAACGAATGACTTCAAAAGTCTTTTAAAAGTGAACTTTGTGTGCCTTGTTGTCCACACAAATGGTCCCATCTAACACCGAATTACACGCACTCTATTATACTAATAATTATTAGATTGCCTGAATACACTAAATTATCTACGATGTTAATCAACTATTAGATAACATATATTTAAATTTTTTTATTTATAAGAAAATAATAATCACTTGATTACATATTATTTAAAAACTTGTTAAGGATTATGTGATTTATAACAACCTAATATTTATCTCCTGTAATTTAGATATTCGTGTCATACATTAGTTTTCTTCATTCATATCTTGTATTTTCCCCCCCTAGTTTGGACCTTGGATATCCTATTTGGAGTCAAAGATAAATTGATTTTAATACGTAAAAATTATTTAAATGAGTTTTGAGTCTTTTAATAAGTTTTCTTTTTCATAAACACAAGATCAATAAATTGAATTCCTGAAAACATGTTTAAAGAATTAATTAAGGTGTTCATCAAATTTGCTAGATCTTGTTGGTATTTGTCTGTGTCCTATTTGAAATTAAGAGAAAAAGGATAATAATGATAGTAATAATAATAGAGTTAGCAAATTAGTGAATCATAAATTAAAAGGTAATTTTTGTTGGGAGATTATTTATATAATCCTTAAAAGAAGTTAATAACACTCTTTTTAATTAACACTTGCTTTATTGGTTGAAACTTATTGGAACCAATCAATTTTAATAAATCTCGTATTTTATTTAATCAGTCAATCTTGATTTCAACCAATAATGTAATAAGTGTTAAAAAATGTTTTTAAATTTTATTTTATTATTATTTATACTATTAATAAAGGTGATGCACCTTTTTATTGTGTAAATTTATTAACTGTTTTAAATTGTTTTATCTCAAATATTTATTTTCAAACTTCTCATATATTCTAAATAATTACTCAAAATCATTCACATCTTCTTATTGTTAACTAACTGCACATATTTAATTTCAATTATTTTTATCATTTATTTTATTTTTAATAAATACTTGAAAGCATGAAATACCTTTTATATGATAGTTAATATTAAATAGACACATTTATAATTTAAAAACTCATCCTTTTTTTTCCCTTTCAATAAAGATATATTATTATTTCTCATTGAGTTGATTCTTATCTTGATCATTGATTAAAGAACAGTTGTATTGAACTACTTACACTAACAATCTTTATTAAAGCACATCTTACTTTAAGTTCTAATAAACCTAATTCTCTTAAATATATTATTTTTATTATTATACTATCATGTTTAAATTTAAATAAAATTAAATAACTTTTATATTAATTTGATGTATTAAAAATAATAAAGTAATTTTAGTTCATAAATTAATTAATTATATATGAAAAAATTAACCTGGTGTACATTGCAGAAGTTACTAGTAAAATACTTGATAAAGCAATTTAGAACGCGCTCTTAAAAAACTAGAAGTCCATAATATGTGCTTAATTAGGTGTTTAACATCAAATGAAGTCTCCTCCTAATTGTCCTTCAATTCCCAAGAACAATAGTCCCAAGAAGACCTCGGTCAACACCAATTCCAGTCAATTTGCTTTATCCATGTGCAAATGCCCGTGTTCAGTTCAAGAGAAATTCAACAGCAAAAAAACACAAAGCACTAAAAGAAGGATAATTATCAATCTCCTTAAAGTATTACAATTGTTACTAGTATACTTTATCATAATTTTAATTTTTTTAATAATTCTTTAGAATTAATTTTTAAACCAATATTTTTGGTAAAAAAAAAAAAGAAAAGAAAAGAGGGAGACACTCCTTTAGAATATCTTCATATTTAAGAATTAAGATATCTTTTGTGACTACAAATTGGTGGGTATCTTCAAATTTTCGATAAGAGTGAGCTACCCACAAAAAAGGCTTTTGTATATCTGAGGAGTAGTTTTTTTTCAAAAATTCTCAAAATGAGTATTTTTTTTTAAAATTCTCAAAATGAGTATTTTTTTAAAAAAATCTCAAAATGGATGAGTAGTGTTTATAAACACAATTTCGTTATTTTAATATTTTAAAATAACAAAGTCGCGTGACTAAGTCAAGTCGTGCCCTCAACCACGACTTTGATATTTTTAAAAATATTAAAATAACGAAAGTTGTATAAACACGATTTGTCTATTTCGGAAATTTTTAAAAACTTACCTATTTTTGGAATTTTTGAAAAAAGAACCTACCCCTCTCACATACAAAAGCCCACAAAAAGAGAATACGAGTCTATCAATTTTTTTAAAAAATTTAATTTCTTTATACGTGTCTCTTTCTTACGACAAAATTAGACACAGTACACACTCTAAAAATTGCAGGAAAAGTATATCAGATTTCTCAATAGACAAAATCCCATGCTAAAATTAAACCCGGTCGAAGCACATGCATGAGAACAATCAACAACCAAAACTACATCGTTTTCAACTTTTATCCTTCCCTTTCATCTTCGGATTCACAGTTAAATCTTCCACGAAAACTCGTCATCCATTACTCAAAGAAATTAAAAAGTGCACATTTAAGTCAAAAATTAATTAAAAGACATGTTTATTACTTTTTATTAGAAATTTTAAAAAGCAATTATACATGCAAGGAGTTGGGTCTTTGACTGACGAACAAAAACAACAACCATTCTTACACAAATTGACGTAAACTTAATTTATCATAAATATATACTATACAACTGAAGGAAATTTGATCCAATATCAGTTCTCAAAACAAAATTAAAAACACAGCAAATTTTATTTTGATATACACTATAAATATTTCTCATCAAATATGCATAAACATAAAATTATTATCAACAACAAAATTCTTTCTGAAACGAACTTGAACATACTGGTTGATTCACGTAACTAATCAATGATGAAAAAGGAGACATTAACTTATGAAAAGGGTGGTTGAGACTAATAGAAAGAAAGAAATATGGTACCTATATAGCAATGAAAGCAAATTGCTTTGCTTTGCTTTGCTTGTACTACACATTACTAAGCTAAACATATACCAACCATGCAATGCAACTTTTAACTCTCTTCTCACAGTTTCGATCGATGGAGATTAATTATTATTTTTAACTGTGATATTAATTTGTATCGATACTATGATTATCAAAATTAAAATGAAAAAAAAAAACTAAACATCAACGACGCAATTTTGGAAAAGCTGAAACTTGACGGCGGGTCCGGCAACTCCGAGGGCGGCGTCGTCGCGGTCTCCGGCGAGTCTGATATAGGCGGGACAGTTGACGTAAATATGGTACCTTCCGGAGACCCAAGTCCCCACTTTCCACTTAACCCTACCGTTGACCTTGACGTTGACCAGCACGCCGCCGGAGGTCTTGTCCTGGCGGAGAATCTCGAGCATGAAGGGGGAGACGGGGACGGCGGCGCCGTAGAGGAAGGGCGACCAGACGGCGGTGTCGCGGTGGCCCTGGTAGGTGGGAGGGAGCGCGGTGGCGAGGGAGACCTGCTGGCCGCGGTAGGAGGCGTAGGCGTCGAGTTTGGTGTAGTAAATGCCGATGCGGTTGTTGGGGTTGAAGGCCGAGAGCGTCACTTGCATGGTCAGTGTGAGGGTGTTCGGGGTGGGGGCTGCGGCGGAGGGCGTGTCGCCGGTGGAGGAGAGGTTGAAGGCGTACACGGTGGCGTCTTCCAGGACGAAGCGGGGCTTGGTCGGCCGGAGGATGATCCATATGAGGAAGATTACGAGGAGAATGAGGAATATGAACCCTAGGAGCGCCGCCAATGCGCGACGGAGGAGCTGCCGCCGGTGGTCGTCGTGGTAGCCGCACTCCTTGGTCATGGTTTAAGTGTGATGATGGATATGGGTACTCACTCTGTGGAGAATGTTTCTTATTGCATAATTAAGTATGTGTGTGTGTGTGGATTATATAGGCAATTCAATAATGGAAGGGGTGGAAAATATGAGAGATGAAAAAAAGGAGGGGTGGTAAGAGATGTAATAAAAATTAAAAAGAATGAAAATATGAGTGGTATAAACAATTAATATTTGGGAGATTAGGGTAATGAGTTTAATTAACAATGATGTTTGGGATGACTTTGGTCTTGGCTTCACATATATATGTCATGTGTCAAAGCTTGTAGTACTTAATATATTTTATATTTCTTCAAATCAAAGTAGTAGTATATTTGGAATTAGCTAACTAACGTAAAAAAGTTTGGTGCATGGATTATATAAGTGAAAATCTTATTTTAATTAAGGAAAATAATGAACAAAAACAGTAGTTAAATTATTATATGTAAATTTTGTCCTATACTTACTTCTCTCTTTATTCCATTACTAAAATGAATTTAAGTTATAAGAAGAAGAAAAAAAAATGTAATTTTTGTCTCTATATGTTTGTTAAATGTGTTCAAGGTCATAGATTTTCATGTTAATGAATTTGGTTATCGGCTTTAAAAAACATATCATTGTTTTCTGATAATGCGTCATATTTTTTTTTATAAGTTAATAATAATTAAATTCACATAGTTTTTAAAATTTAAGAATCAAATTCTAGATAATTAAAATACAATAACTACCGTGAATACATATGACTGAAAGTATGAAGATTATTTTTTTTTTGTCGACAGGCCGAAAGCATAAGGATTAAAAACTATATTAATAATAATAATAATTCTCTACTTGGTACTTGTAATATTTAGATGGACATGCACTACACCATTAGTATTTGTTAACCTTGCCAAAATATTTCCACAAACACTGTTCTGATAGCTATTAACACCTCATACGTGTTGCTGTAAAGAAAGACCTCATATATGTACTATCTTGAATTTCTGATTTAAATGACTATTAGAAAAATGAATGTTATAATCTCCATATGTATAATTCGTAATTTCTTTCTACAGCAATGTATAAATTTTCTTAACTTAGGAATTCCGAACCAATAAGCTCAACTAGTTATAAATTATTAATTTTTTTGTAATATTAAATTCGATTCTGATGTATGAAAAAGGAGTTAAGAGTTTAGAAATTAATTAGTAATTTAAAGTAAAATTAGCTCATATCACGACTAAATCTTTTCCGGCGACATTTTCATTTATATGCTATTTATTTAATAATTTTTTTATTATATATAAAACAAAAATTAGAGTGAAATTTTAACACTTACAAATCTGATTTTTTATAAATATTATTAGGGATTTTTGCTCTTTTTTATTTTTAACATTTAGCTACTGGACAAATTAAATTGTAACCGAATTAATTATTATACCTACTGCCAGAAACTTATGTCAATTTGTAAAGAAATCATTATTTCAATCAAGAAAGTGAATTCATGCAGAACTGAACTACATCGATAAAACTTAAGAAGCTAATTAGATGTCAAATCAAATTAAGTAAAGGATCATCATTCTGGACACCAAAGAAACCAAAGCTCAACAGCAATACATGTGGATATATACACATAGAATTTTCCAATTTAGCGTATAATACGAAAATTCCACTAAGATCATGATATTTGATATTGATAATTTGACCTGACTTAAAAATATATATAAAGAAAGACCGAAAAGTTTAATAGGTATATAATTTGATATTGATATCAGGTTTGTAAAAGTAAACTCAACTAAAAGCATAAAAGAAAGACCGAAAAGTTTAAAGCAATAGGATCTACCAGTCATGGGGCTAGCTAGAACCTCTAGACTTAAACAAAAGCAATTTTGAAGTGTTTATAGTACGTTGTCCTCGTAAAAGGAGGTAAAAGAATTACTAAGAAACTTCTTTACTAGGGAAGACAACCAAACACATTCCCCACACCACGAACGAAGAATTTATAAAGCATTGGATCCAGAGCAGGGACAGTAGGGGCATTATAGTCACAAGGATTTCTTATGTGAAGCTTCATCTTATTACCTTCATTTTGTTCATCTTGTCACTTTTCATATTTTTTTTAATGTATTTATCGTTTCAAAATTTCAAGATCATATTAATCATTATTTTTCAATTATATCTTTTGCCAGAAAAGAGAAAACATATTACCTAAGAGATAAAGAACGTATAGAAACATAAATAATTTTAATAAAAAAAAAAACTTTTTAACATGTATTTTTAGTAAACATAAATTAATAAAAATAAACAAAGAAAGTAAACTAAAGTCAAAATAATAATTCTAGCGCTTATTAGTTAGCCTATACTCAAGACACTCATTTGGCAGGTCCTTCCCCAAATTTAAGTGAAAAGTCTAATTATGTGTCCAACTTCAGTTGTCTATTGTAATTTGTAAACCTTAATGATACATTAAAAAGGTGAGTTTTTTGAAGAAGGCAAAAACTATATAAAAACCCGGGTGTGATTAGATTTTTTATAATGAAATTTGAATTTGATATTATAAAAACTAAATAAATTTCTCATATTAGGCCGAATTAGTGAGTGTATAAGTTCATCTATCATCTAATAACCTTTCCTATAAGATGATACGTGATTAGATGATAATATTTTTCTTTTTTTAACTTATAATCTTTGAAAATTGAAATGCATGAATGGGTTATGAAATCCCTTTAGAAAAGATAAGAGCTTTCACCAGATTACTTTGCCTGTATAAGTAATGAGCAAGTAAAGCCATTGACTAAGTGCCTCCACTAATTAAGATATGATTATATTATGCGATGTAAGCGTTATCTGAATTCTGATCCGTTATCATATTTCACATTGACTGTTATTCAACAAGGTTTATCCCATTTTTTTTACTTTCGATATCCATTTTTGCCTTCACATTGGAAAGAAAATAACTAAGGGTTAAGGCAGAGTCAAATCAATGGATGTTCATTGAAATTTCGAGTCACATTCAAGTCCACACCGATGTTACCGCGTTTTGGAAGGGCACCCATTGGAGGATACGAATCCTTTTCCATGGATGCTATCAATTGTAGCCTTAAAGGGGTGCCTTTTCCCAACACATGAATGAATCAAAGTGTGAAACTCAAACTGTGTTACTTTTTGGGATTGGATGTAGTGGATACTACTCTAATTCTAATATCATATTAATAAGTGCCTAACAAAATTTGATTAGATAGAGGTGGACAGAAAAACGAACTTGTGGGACCTTGACAACCATATGATAGTCCTTAAGATTAGAATTGTGATGTTATTGTTATTATTATTTGAGGGTGGTTGAAGGTGGATGATGGATAAGTTTGGGAAAACAACCGCTTAGTCCTGGCTTTGCCTTATCTTTCAAGGTAGACATGTAGGCCTTTTGGAATTTTTGTACGCAAATAATGGCCTCCTAATGCATGGCCACTTTCTGGTCACTTTCTGCATGACTCGTTAATTTCCTTACTCCCCTGTTTTGATTTTTCATGATAGTATGGTCGATTGGTCGTTAACTTCACTATACATCATTTCAAGTTGGAAATCACAAATCACAATGAAAGCTCTCTTTCACCGAAAGGTTGAGGAAGACTTAGAGAAGTGTAACATATACAATGCGTTCCTTTGTGGTAGATACGAGCCTTTCCATTGTTAATCGGTAGTGCATCAAGCAATTAGTTAAATTAATTTTTGAAATCATAAATATCAATCAATTTAATCTTTAAAATCATAAAAGTATCAAAGTAATATTTGAAATTACCAAAAAATTAAGTAATTTTATTCCTTGTTATAACTTTAATAGTACTTGAGACAAACATTTTTAAAACTTTGAAGGTTTAATTAATCAATAATAATTTAATATATTTTATTAGGCTAAAGCAACATGTTTAACAAGTGGGTTTTATTGTCATTTTATCTTGAATTGAAGGAATCTTAGAACGTGGAAAAGTGGAAGTAGAATTTTCTTTGAACCCTTGGCTTGTATAGGCATTATCCAATATATCGAGTTTAAATGATACATGGACCCCCCACAGCAAGAGTAAGGCCTGGGCCGAGGTACTTGTGATCCCACCCATTCGGGGGTGGTAGTGGGGAATGCAAAGTTGCAAACTGATCCATGTAAATCCACATTTCCTTTTAGAATGACCTCTTTTTCGAAAATTATACTTTTGCACAAATAAACAAGTCAAGGCTGATGATATATACACCTCCTATCATTTATAAATACACCTCCAATTTCTCTTTTTTTTTTTAATTCCTAAAATATCCTTTTAACTAAATTTTGATTTTTAAAATTGTTTTATTCACCCCCTTCTTTTATCATTTTTCTTCTTCTTCTTTCTTCTTTTTTCTTCTTCTTTTTCTTATTCTCCTTTTTTATCACTCTAGTCATTTTTTGATGATTCTATTCTTTTTCGTTTTTCATTCTTAATTTTTCTTCTTTTACAATCAACATAATCATATTTTATCTTTCTATCTTTTTAATTCTATTTTTCACTTTCCACTCTATTCTTTCTTAAACCCTAATTTTTCATTCAATCGTCATTATCCTCTACATTCAATACAAGGTACAAAATTAATATATTAAATTACATTTCATATTTACAATTTTTTTAAACTTATTTAACATTACTTATGCACAACAGGTTCGATCGCAGAAGCCGGTGGTGGATAAAGAGATAAAGAAACTGGTAAGTTAAATGTGTCATGCGCTTGTAAAATAAGTTTTTTAGCATTCCGGAAAGTACTTTCCGAAATAGTAAAATTATTGTTCATATAATTCCGGAAAGAGCTTTCCGTAACAATAACTTTAATATTACGAAAAATACTTTTCGGAATGTAAAATAAGTTTTTTAGCATTCCGGAAAGTACTTTCCGAAATAGTAAAATTATTGTTCATATAATTCCGGAAAGAACTTTCCGTAACAGTAACTTTAATATTATGGAAAGTACATTCCAGAATGTAAAATAAGTTTTTTAGCATTCCGGAAAGTACTTTCCGGAATAGTAAAATTATTGTTCATATAATTCCGGAAAGA